GAAACAGAAGTTGTGAGTGTTCATATGGCACAACATCTGACTTAGTGATATTGTCTCATCTATTCCTCAATTAAATTCACTTTTAACTATATTTTTCATGCTTCCGTTGTAATGAATAATATTATTTCCTCTCCCCTTCTCATCTTGTTACCCCCCTCTCTGGATTTGTTAATGTGAAGTGGGTTGTTACTTATCTGTGTTAGTTTCTACGTTATTTATAGCTGACGGACAATTTTCTGTAAATGCGATTCTTGTCGAAATAATATTTTTTAAACCTAAGATTATAATGGGCGTTATTGTCTTGTAGACTTGCATGGAGATGACAACACCTATGTGTGCATCAGGGCCGGTAAACATCATGCCTCCATTAAATTGGGATCTTAAGACTTTTTCAATCTCTTGTCAAAATCGATTTGGTGTAAGTCCACGTGTTGAATGGCCAAAAGTTGAATTTTGGAGTAAATCAGTACATACTGTTACCAACATAATTTTCAGGTAAAAAAACAAAACGTCTTTGTTATTTTTTTTAAAGAATAACTTCTTTTATATAGAACCAGAGATAATCTTTTAGTAACAATTTTACATGTAAAACCTCTGTGAAAATGAACATTTGGTATAACATTTGGATTATCTGGAGTCATCATGCTTACATGGGGAAGAAATGAGGGAACTTTCACAACAGTCAGGATTAGATCAGCAATTTAATTATGATAAACAGAGCATCTAAATTTGAACTACCAGGTTAAAAGTTTGAAACGTATTCCAGATGTTTCCATTTCAGCACGAGACTAACTTCACTAACCTTCATCGAAATATATAAGCTAGAGCCGAGTCCATAAACTTGTACTTCGTGATTACTTGACATCAGCACTCACCAAATAAACGTGTTTCTTATCATGTTGATGTCTTTCTCCAGTCTTACTGGGCATACATTTAGTAATCTCAGTATTTAATCTAGAAATCTACATAAACCAATGAACCTGTTATCAAAATTTGTACATCAAGTCATATTGAAGTAAGATTTAAATTTGTTGCTATCACGTTACTTGATTCAGACTCAGTCGAGTAATAATATTGAAATTCTAAAACAGTCAGTCGGCAATTCAGTGTTGTTAGCTTAAAAATATGTTAAAATATATATAGATTTTTCTATGTATGCATATGTAGATATGGACGATTTCTTTAATTCAACTTATGAGACAATGTTTTTATGTTGTTCACATGTAATTTAATATCTGTCATTAGTTGTCTTTTTGTCATCTAACCGTTCCAACCAGCCAAAGTTTTTGTTTACCTTAAAAAGACATTCTCGACATAGTAAGTTATTATTTATTGTCAGCAATCATTTAAAAATGTGTTTGGTAATTGTATTATCTAGGTTGCAGTTCGTATGTCTATTGTTTTCAATACATGATAATAATAACTGGCTATTTTGCATGCGAATATATGACAGTGTCATTTAAACATTACTCCATGTTTAGATTATTGAAGGTGAAGTGCCTAAATTACTGTGTCGGTGCTCTGTGTACTCCTGAAAACTTCTGCATTGTAAAACTATTTCACTAGTCTAGACACTTGATTAGAAACTTCTTCCTTATTGTTTTAAGCCTAGTGTATGTATATCAGTTTGGTGAGCCGCATCATCATAGCTTTTCATTATTAAGTTTTACGCCTCGTAGTGTAAATTTTCTACGTTCAGTTTGAAGTTGAATGTACTATTTTCTTAATTTTAAAAACCATGTCAATATTTTTGTATTACGCTTCAATTAAGTAGTCTATTTGTTTACGATAGAATATTTAAATTCCTTAATAAATTAATGGATATGTTTCTTCTTATCTTATTTCTAGCAATGGTGAAATTGATCCATGGTCAGCATTATCAATTACAAATAATAGTTATGTCCCATTTGCTACAGTCATTAATATCTCTGATGCTGCTCATCATTTAGATTTGAGAACTCCTAACCCGGCTGATCCTCAAAGTGTGATTAAAGCAAGAGAAATCGAAAAAAAGAAAATAATGCAATGGATAAAAGAATGGAAACTTAAATACCAATTATTAAAATTTTTCAATGGCGTTATATCATTCATCTCTTTACTAGATTACCTTGGCTAATATTTAAAGAAATATTTTGTATTTTTTTTTGTTGTTGCGATTTTCATGATAATAATCATAATTTAAACTGACATTATAACTTATAATCAAATTTTTTGCATCTTGAAAAGTAATTTTTCATGATTAATATAATTTGCTCATACACTGTTCCTGGACGTATTGGAACAAGTTGAAAGCTTCCTTCATTTAAATAGTGCAAACGGATCCGTAAATCGTAGTTAGGAATGATTGTTGGTTATAAAACGTAAAGTAAACAACTCTCTAGTAGGTCTTTTTCTGCTCTGCCATTGGTAAACATGAAGGTTTCAAGCTAAAGGTGGTCAACAGCGTTATGTACTACTACCGTTATCCTTAAAACGTTGAGATCATGTAAATAATGATTATATCTGATAGAGGAATCATATCTTACTTCACAACTTCATATTATTGTGTTGAGTAACTTTATCTTATATCTATGTTTTTTATTATTTTTAAATAACGTACAATACATTGGTTGTCTCAACGGATAATGGTGTTGCAACTTGGAAATGTAGTGTAACTTACGCTTTATTAAGTTTTGTATGTGATTATAAGCAAATCAGAGTAATGAAACTAACAATGAATTAAATCTTAATGCATCGGTAGCTAATGATACTGTTTTCAAGATATTTCTGGCATATACTAGCAGTCAGGTTTAAGTAACTTGCAGAATTTTCTCTAAACAACTAATCAATAATAAATATACATAATGAAATAGGGTGTTGTACACTTTACTAGCAAATGTAATCGAATGATTCAGTAATTGCTTATCGACTTTCTGTCTTATTTTAATGGGTGAACTAAATATTTGCCCAATTCCACTTGCACGCTATGTAAAAGATTGGATCAAACCCTATTGTGATTTCTTGATTTGAGATAAGTAACTGTCTAAGGTTCATATAATAATCACGCCAGATCATATTCAAGCCATGCAATACGCACTTATCCAATTAGCAGCCAGTGTCCGAAGGTATAGCGTGTAATTTGCACCTACATCCAAATTACTTTTACAAGATTAGTAGGAGGATGTGTTTGCACTCATTCCTGCAGTTAGGAGTAATCGAGTTCATTTATTTGGATAGGTATTTAAGTCCTGGTGGTGGTGTTATTGAAGAGGTGAATTTACATACAACGAAAACCAGAGCTATCTATGCCAATCTGGTTCATCCTTGACGCCTTTATGATGTTACCCCGGCTGTAAAAGGTTGGATTTACAATGCGTCGGTGAGAGCAGTCTTGCTCTGACCTTGTGAAATCTGCCCTCCGAGTTAAGAGTGGTAAGCAACTATCTGTGTTTGATTATCGTTGTCTCCGAAGGATCTCTAACAGTGGCAACATCACGTTATTATGCAGAAGTTTTGCAATGTATGTTCGAGCACTGCAACATTTTGAAATACCGGCTTCGGTGGTTGTTTATGTACTACGAATGTCGTCCCAGCTAATTCCACATCGTACATGATTTGTTGACGCTGAAAATAGTCGGGGAAAGCGGAGGTTGTCAGCGCATGTCGTGGTATAAAAGAGAGTTGTACAGGACTGGCCTCTGTTTGGGGTCATGGAGATGGTGCAGCATAGTAGCTTGAGACGTTATCAGATATTGGTCAGAATATATAATTATTGAAGGCCTTTTTCAATTAAATAAAGTGAACCCTTCGATGGGAGTTGTTCACGTCTACATACTTTGATCATAGGTTCAAGTTAAATAGAATTATCATGAATTATTTTTTTAGCATTCACAAACCATAATATCCGATTACCTTGCACATTAATTGATTGTTTTCGTATAATAGTGAGGGTATTAGTGTGTTTCCCGGTATTTATGATTTAGCACCACTAATTTTTTGAATCGTTTGGATATCAATCAGTTCAAGATGAGTCAACTTTCATGTATTAATACTATCAATAAATAGTTATGATGGCACTTGAAAATACGAACATATTTCATGATTTGAAAAGATGATGAAACCAGAAGGTTGGGCAAGGCATTTTGAGTTATTAAAACCTTCATTGTTCAGTGTATCCGACTTCATTGCAAATATGAAGGCGTTTATCCATCGCTTTCTGTCGAATAAGTCATTTCTGCTCTAAGTTAATTGTTATATACCGTAAAAATTGTATACAGTGTATACTCGAAAGACTTTCCTAAAAATAACGTCCAGATTTCTAAAAACTTTTAGTATTAAATATGTTATCGTTAATACGTTAGCCATTCACGAACTATGTAGTGGAATCCTAATTACGGAATGTTTGAAAATTTAAATAAAACCAATGGGATTCGTATATGTATCGAGGATGTACTATCTGATTCTCTTCAATAAACGATGAAATTAAAGAAAGTAAATGAACTATCTGTTTAATCCAAATAATCTGGTCTAAACAGGTGGGGACTGTACAAGGTTTGTTATTCACCATGTACAAATTTAGTTCCTAGATTAACAAAGAGATTCTTGTTATAGTATTGGATAAGCCAAGTGATTTGATGATGTGCTCTGATAAAAAAATGTTAAGATTGGAGTTATTTTGTAACAAATAGAAGTAGACTCAATGGCGAAACATTTTTCCCGAGTCTCTAAAGTATTCAGGACACCTAGAAAAATTGCGAATCGATATTATCTGCAAACATTTAACAAATTTCGAAATAGCACAACCGAAATCAACATTTTGAACTGTATTTTATCACAAGTGTCAATGGAATTAATTTCTGATAAACCAATTATCAATTAGACATTATTCCGTTGAATTTAGCGTCACTTTCCAAGTTCTAGTGGGTCTTATCCAAATGATCGTGTTCTTTTTTCTATTATATTGAATACCTCCTTTTCTTAGTTCTTCATTAACACCGATATATAACCATAATATATTGTTTCAACCGAGTATTTTTTAGTAAATATCCTTACAAGTTTATTGTTAGATCAGTAGAATGGTAATAGTTGGTGAGAGTAATGCAAATAACTAATTTATTCAAAATATACATCACGATAATTGTCATTACTATTCAATGTGTTTGTATTATATTTTTTATTCAAAAAATAAGTATAAAGCAACATTGTTTCTCATATAGAAATTGGGAACTGTTTAGTACACAAGTAATACTATCAACTGGTTAATGGTAATAATAATAATAACAACAATATTATTATTGTTATGATATATTTAAAGAATTCATCATCGGAAATATTTGGTCAGTAATGAATTGCTATGGATCTCAGATGTTTTCTTTTACATTACAATGGACGAGTAATTTTAACTTCAATAGCTGAACAGAAATAATGACATCACTTTGAACTTCCATGGAAAATTTTCATTCTTGTTGTGTTTTCTTCTAAAATACTATTATCATTACAAATAAAGAACAATGGTGTACAATGTTATAATCTATTCATGTTTTCATTGTTGTATTGTATCAAGAGACTAAAGTATTTTGTTATTTATTGTGTAATCACAAGAATGTAAGAAATTAAATTAAATTGAAATTTTAAAGTTGAGTAAGTTTTAAATTAAAGATTCAGTGGTTTATTGGACCAATTTTTTTAGTTTGTTAACAGTCACTGATTTCATCATTATTCAACGATCAACATTATAGTTTTTGGTGTGTTTATCATAATCACCAACGGGAACAATAATCATTTCGAAGGTGATTTGTTGTTGTTAAATTCAATTATGTTTTTAAGTAATATTAACAAAAGAATCATAATCAAGGATACATGATGTAACAGAATTTGTAGAAATATTATCATCCCACTGATTAGTTGTCTTGATAAATTTTTGTTTATCAAATAACGTTGAATATTGTAGTTCACTGAAATTAATTTTACTGTTGTCATCATTTTGTTGTAAAGTCCTTTCATCGTTGGAATGTGATAGAGTTTTCGATTTTTTTGTTTTCATTCTACGATTTTGAAACCATACTTTTACCTTGATTATATGTAAGAAAAAATAAATCACATATATTACCATTAAACAAACTTTTAATTGTGATTATTGTACTTCATAGGTAGAACTTTGCCTGGAGCCTCTCCTGGGCTACTGCCTGTCCCAAACCCGGATAAAGGAGGAGAGTTGGACACGGGGTTAGCGACCACATCCCATAGGAAACTAACTCGCTAAAAAACGCTAACCAGAAACAATAATTCAAACCATTTAAACTCTGCCCTGGGAGTTAGAAGGTCTTCATTTAAAAGAAATGTGACGCCTCATGATGAAAGCCGAGTTCCTTCGGAAGCCACGAGGTCGATCCCCCTTCTATCAACCATTAATTTAGGTACATTTAATGTTCGTACAGGGTGGAAGACCAGGGAAGTCTTCTGCATTGCTACAGAAACTTTTAGTTTTAGAAAGTTAAATGGTAAGAGTACAACTCTGGAAATTGTTTAGTAATCCAGTATACACGTAATTCTGTTTGAATTCATTAAGCAGTTGATTCACAAGTAGTTTTATGTATATCAATTTGCCCCCAAATGTCCTGGTACGTCGAGGGTGGGAAGAGTCAACTCTCCCTCTCCAAATGCTATTACATGGCCACGTGTATACAGCCACTCTCAGTAACGTCCTACTCACTATTTTCTCACGGTAGGGGTGTTGTTTACGAAATTGAGAGAACGACAAGTAAGTATCCGGTGCTTTAAACGGGTTGATGGCTACGGAGGTTCCACTATGGGGAGTTAGAAAATCCTCAAACCAATCGAGCAATGAAGTGTAGTGCGTATATATTTGGTGCCCTCTCGTTTATTTAAGTAAATAAATAAAATACTCAATTATTAGTTCACATTTGAGTAATGATTGCGATATCTTTTACCGTTTTATAAATTACGGTCAATTAATTACAAATCTTACGCAGCTTTGTTTTATTTGTAGTATATACCTATCTAAATCTATTATTTACAGTATGATATAGTTTTGCATCTATGAATTTTAGAGTTTGACCAAAGAACACATTGCTCCGAGAATTCGAGGCAGACATTAAAGGAATGAATAGCAACTGGGAAGGAGAGTTCAAGACGAAGCTGTTTAGAGAATCCTCTTCGATGGCCTTTGCTCAACAGATAAGAGGTGTAAGTAACTCAGTGAGTGATTTTCGTATAGATGGATTTCATGTATGCCAATATCAGTATGAGTTCACCAAACGGCTTAAAAATCTAACTTATAAGGAATTTATAAAGTGTTGAATTTCTCTGAATTTCAAAAGCTACTTGATTATGCATCAGTAAATAATCTGCTTTTATTCTAAATCATGTAAGCATTTCGAATACATCATCATAATCATTATACTAATGAAAGAATAATATTTCAGTGGAGGAGTTTCAGTGTCAAAAATTTTATATATTATTCAGGATAATTTTATTTATTTATTTATTTATTTGAACACATAAATATTGGTACAGGGGGGCACCAAATATATATGCGCCACACAAAACAATGATAATTTGAAGAGAAGGAGAATATATATATATATATATATATATATATATATATATATATATATATAAGTAATGAACGTGGGGAATTATAAAAAAAGAGAGAACAATGATGGGGAAAACGGAAAAGTACAATCAGAAGAAATCTTTCACTTAAGGAAGATACAACCACTTTTTATGGAGGAAGTAAAAGAAGGTTACAGCAGGATCGCCATTGGCTTCTATTCTGAGCCATATCCGATAACGTCTCTAGCCACTGTGTCGCACCATCTCTCGGACCCAAGCCAGGGAGTCGTGAAAGACCGACAGAAGCCAACCCTTTTCAGCTTTCTCTCATACCACGACACCATGTCATACACTGACCACCTCTCCGCCTTTTCCAACCAGTCCCAGTGTCTGCAAATAATGCATGACGTGGAATTCTCTGGGACGACATTCCTAGAACATGTCCAAGCCACCGAAGTCGGTGTTTCAAGATAGTGACACCAATTTCATTATCGTCTCTGTGACCGAACACACGATGCCGGACCTCTGCATTACTGACATGGTGTTGCCACTAAATGCCAGCAATCCTTCGGAGACAACGATGATCGAACACAGAGAGTTGTCTAACATCCTCAACTTGGAGGCCAGGTTTCACAAGCATAGAGCAAAACTGCTCTCACCGTCGCGTTGTAGATCCGACCTTTTACAGCCAGACTAGCATCACGAAGGCGCCAAAGGTGGCCCAGATTGACATAAGCCGCTCTGGTTTTCACTATACGTGCATTGATCTCATCACTCACGCCACCACCAGCACTTATGCAGCTACCTAGATACACGAACTTCTCGACCACTTCTATCTGCTCACCGTCCAGAGTGAGTACAGGATTAGAATCCTGCCAGTCTTGTAGGAGTACTTTGCACTTCGAAGGTGCGAAGCACATACCATACCTACGGACATTGATTGCCAACTGATTAAGTGCGGATTGCATGGCTTGGGCATTATCGCACAGTAAGACAATATCATCCGCATACTCAAGGTCGAGAAGTCTTTCTGCAGACAACAGATCCACACCACCATTACTTACATCCATCAGAGCTGTTTCCAGAATGTCATCGATGGCAAAGTTGAAGAGGAATGGTGAGATTGGGCAACCCTGCCTAACTCCACTGCTTGAATGGAATAGTGGAGAAAGGTGGTTGTATGCCCTCGCTCTGCCTGAGGTGTTTGTGTATAGGGCTTTTAGGATGTTAATAAACTTCTCAGGCACACCCTTCTTCAACAGACAATCCCAGAGAACAGTTCTGTCCAACGAATCGAAGGCAGCCCTGATATCAAGAAACACTACGATTGTTGGCCTTTGATAAGTATGGCGGTGTTCTAACATTTGGCGGAGGGTGAAGATATGATCAATACATCCTCGACCAGAACGAAACCCAGCCTGCTCCTCGCGAGTCAATCCTTCTCGGGTTCTGAACAACCTACGAAGTATGACGGAAGCCAATAGCTTGGACGCAATCAGAAGTAAACTGAGGATAAGGTACATTGAAATAATTTCTCTGTAGTTTTCGGTTTATGATAAATCGTCGTACAATGATGATTTTAATTAGTAGAACTTAATATTTGTGTGTAAGGTTCTCTCAAGTCGAAAATCAATTTTAGCTTTTCAAGTTGGTTTTTTTTATACTTGCCGTATTTTCTGTTGTAAAAGTAGTGACGTTTAATTTCATATGTAGTTGATGACTCTCATGGTGATGGATTGAGATTGTGAGAGCCCATCCGTTAACCATAAGAAATATAAACATTTGTAGATTAGTCACTGTTGTTCAATTGGATTCTTTTTTAACCATTCAAATCAATTGCCTACAAGTGTCGAAATCATGTTCGATACTTGTAGTATTTACGCGTACATTTAGCAATACATTACAACTTCTTTGCTTTAATAAATTCACTTATTGCTCACAGTGAATAACAGTCCCTAAACTGTCTGAACCTTCGTTGTTCTAGAACGTTCCCTATATATTGAATTATATTTGTTCTTGGCTGATCTGATTGGTGAACTTATTACTAATCTTAGTGTTTTTTTAGAAACTTTCAGTTGTTTAAAAAAACAAATAACAACAGAAAGCTTTTTATATTTCCACAATCTTATTGTTCCTAGAGTTCAACTGTCAAAGGCTGTACGAATTTAAAAGTCTTCTAAGAAATCAACATCACAAACAGGTAGTGTAATATCCACTGAAATTTCAAATTAAATGAAATAAATCTGTTGTATATAGCCGTTGAGTGGAAAATGAATAGAACAGTTTGTTGTAATAAATCTGATGTATCCTTATTTTGGTCAATGTCGTTAATTTAGAAAATCTTGAGTGAGAAAAGATTTAAACCAGTTGTCATTTAACTACCGATATGGAATCCCAAATAGATCTTTTTCAAAGCCTAATTGCTACTCAAATCTCAATATTTTTTATCACTGTATATGTTGTCTTAATTATGTGTGCTTAAATCATATACAACTAACTGTCATTTGATTTCAAATGAAAGTTTATATTGAAATCAAGACTCAAATGATTCTTATACATATTGAAACAAAGTACATTTGATGATTTCATACAAAAGACATTCATAAGACTAACCATAAAAGTCAGTAATTGACAAACTATCCATGAAGAAAATAATTTTACTATAGATTGTTCTGTAATAAATACTTTTTGTTCACATATCAAAAGAAATGATATCTTCTGCTTATTAGTTTATATTAACTTATCAACTGTACAGACCAAAAGAGCTGAAGGTCATGAGTTCAATCCTTAAATACCCACTGTTGAGGAGTCCCATAATATGATAAAGCAGCTGTCTAGTGCATCCTGATTTTTTACAGGTTGTCTAACTTTAATCATTGCATTCTATAAAACTACAAAAATGTATAATTAATGTAAATATATGAATGATATACATTTAAAAATTTTCGTAGCATAATCTCACTTGTCTTTCGCTTAATTGTAATTTATTGGAAATTTCCCATCTTCTTTGACGAGTAACATATGGCATTAATGCATATTCTTTTTCTAATATCATAATTTGATTTCTTGAATAAGGTTTCCTTGATTTTCTTCTATATTGACCGACTTTTGAAAAGAAACAATGAATGGAAATAATCAATATAGATGTTTTTCACATATTAAAACAAATTCTTCTAACCCCTAATTTAAATGTTACCGTTATCAAATAGCAAACATTAAAATCTTTGTCGTACTGGTAAATTTACTGATTCCATGTTAAAGATCCTGAATCCTTGGTTGAAATAATATAATTTATACCTTTCCTGAGAAATAAATTTATTGAAATATGCACGGTAAAATCTCTGAGGAGAGTCGACTCTTCCTCTTCAAATGCACTCACGTGTATACAGCCACTGTCAGAGAATTCCTACTCACTTCCTTCTCACGGTGGGGTTGTTGCTAACGAAATTGAGAGAATGAACAGTGAATATCTGGTGCTTTGACCGGACTGGTGGACACAGAGGGGAACTGGAAAACCCTGGTTCCAAACAAATGATTCACATGGACTCCAGGATCCTAAGGTAAGAAATGGCGTATGAACTATTTTTGGTCACCGGCTACCATGGGACTTCACCTCCTTACGTTGCTCCACTGCCTTGTGGACTAGTGCAGCACGAAACCATTTAAGTAAGCTTCGGATCTGTTACACTAATGCCCGAAGCTTGTCTACAAAATCTGGATATTTAAACCCAAAGTGACAGTTTTGTTATTCGATATATAGAAAATTAGCTTCAACAAATTTGGTTGATGAGCAACCACATTCAGAACATTTAGAACATGATTAATAAGGAGTCGGAACTAGGTGTACAGATTATAATTGCAGTCACAGAAACTTGTCAGACGCAGCCTATAGATAGTGTGGAACTTGATTTTGAAGGTTTTACGCTAGTAAGAGTCGACGGAATCCAGAAGCGTAATGGAGGGAGAGTAGCTCTGTTCATTAGGAATGCTATCTTATTTGCCATTTTCGACAGTGTATCCCATGAGAGTGGGGCGTGAGAATTAGTTAGCTGCCGATTAAAATGCAAGGACAAGAGCTACCGATCGATTTGGTCTACCGCAGTCCAAGCTGTGAGGTGAGTGAGGTCTTGCTAAACAATCTCAATACTTGATCACAAAGTGGGGGACTTTAATGCACCCATGGTAGACTGGGAAAATCTGCAAACTGAATCGTCAGATAATTCCTTCGAGCAGGAACTAGTTGATGCAGTTATCGCATGTGCTCTGATGTATTATGTGAACGAAGCTATTAGGTACGACCCGGACCCTGAATCATCTTTACTAAATCTTATATTGACCCATTATAAGGATGACGTTACGAACATCGATTACATGGCACCCCTATGTAAAAGTGATCATACAGTTCTAACCTTTGACTTCCATATTACTGTCAAAAATCGCATGCATCGGCTTAATCCAGACCTAACCTCTCGAATGTAAATATACAAGATATTATGCACTCAGCATCATCAGTTGGTTTGATAATAGAGTCAGAGTCTCCAACTGAAACAGCTTGGGATGCACTTCGAAATTTAAACTTAAAAGTTACTGCACTCCACATCCCTTAGACTGCATCAAGGGATCCGAGAAACTCTCTGCCATGGTTCAGCAGGGAGGTTCACACCCTTCTCCGTAAGGGGAGAAAAATGTGATAGAGACTCAGGTTACTGGGTACTGCTCAGACAAAATCTCAATATCAAGAAGCTAGGAATACTTGTGCTTCGACCTTCCATAAGTCTAGAAGGCTGTACGAAAGAATTGGTAAGGAATTCATAGAATGCCTTAAACGCTTGTACCTTTATATAAACAAAAGGACAGAAAGAAGGGGAAATATTCCAGCATTATGGGGAGACAGTAATGCTTCATCATTAGTGGAGGACAACTGTGGTAAAGCTTAAGCATTCTCAAATTACTTTAGCAATATATATACCGTAGAAACGCCCTTCTTGTCAGTCCACACAATTCTCCCCACACACTGAACATTAAAGAACTCGATGCCTTTGGTCTGCTAAATAAGCTAGACATAGGCGAATCTACGAGACCCGATGAACTGCAATCTAGGTTACTAATAAAATTAGCTAACTTCTTTGCGAACCCTATAAGTATCCACTGGTCATGAGTACTTACTACAAATCCAGGGATAACCTTTCGAAAACGTCATTAGTGAGCACGTTATTGTTATTCAAATAGTGGCTTTGTTATGATTACTGCACTTCATAGTCTGCATCATAGAATGACCTCAATTAGTTAACTGGGTTTCATCTCAGAATGAAAATACTACTAAAAGCATTATTAATGAAAAAAAACTATGCTAACTATTATCAGAGATTTATTGTTCAAATTCAGTCCTATTTATAATTGACTAGTTTGAAAATTATCAGCGATCAATGATAACTGAATAATTGCTTGATATTATGATATGTTCTTAGAAATATAAGGTATTCACATAACTGAAACTTATAGCTTCTCGCATTTTCATTATCGTAATACCATTAGGTTGGTTAGTTTATTTTTCTAACTCCAATTAAGTATTCATATGTAATGAATCATTCTACATATAGTCATGTACACTTAAATCATGTAGATAATACTAATGATCTCATGTACAATCTTAACTAAATTAATACAGAATATCAATTAGTAGAAAACCTGGGTCCAGGATTTCCTGTCAATCAATCGAAATATTGAATTAACAAACTGAAAATAATACAACCATAAAGATATTTATCTTGAGAACATTGTTAATATTTAACAATGAATTAATCAAAGTTGAAATTATACCATTTGATATCACCTTAACTATTCTCATCTTTAAGCTTTCATTACATTACCTTAAAGTTCTGAAATCGATCCCTTATACGATAGTGAATACAATCTGTTTAAAATTTCCATACTAAGATTTAATGAGTGATATTACTCTTCTTTGACTTTCATTTGTATTCTAAATAAGATTAATCAATAATAACTTACTATGATCAGTTGTTATTGTTGTTGTATAATTGTATATTGAATTAATTTTATTATAATTATCCTTTAAATTATAATTATAATCAATTTCCCATTTATCAATATTATTTTTTAATTGATTATCATAATTGGTTGTTAAAATGCACAAATTATCTTTTGGTACATTCATTATTACATTTTTAACCATTGATGATAAGGAATTTATATGTTCAATTGAATTATTACTATTATTATTTAATAGATAATTATTAGAAACATTAAAATATTCTTTAGGATTATTAGGTTCATGAAAATTACGAAAATTATGAACAGTTTTTGATGGAACATTTGGTTCCATACAACAATCAATTATTGTTTGATCTGAATGAATTAAAGGATTATTTGTTGAAACATAGATAGAGTTTAAAAAATTATTGCCATTTTTTAAATACTGTATCCCTGAAGGTGTAGTCATTGTTCTTTTGTTTAGTTTTCTTGTTGTTGTTGTTGTTGGTGGTGGTGGTGGTGGTGGTAAATTTGAAATCAATGCAATTATTGAATAATATTTGGATAAAAGAAAAATTTATTTATGTATTGTATTCTTCATAGATTGATAATCAGCTTAAGAACAAATAAAAATCAAAAGATATTTAATAGTTATGCCGGATTTGTTTATAATAAACCGCAACAACAAACATATACAATTCCGTATAGGCTAGAACACAGGAGTTTTATATCATTAAATATCAATTATTAAACCTGATAGTCAATAATTTCTAACTTCAATTACTAAATCTGTCATCAGAACAAAACCATAATTTGATATGTTGTAGTTCCCAATTGTTTCATGGTCACTGTTAATCTGTGATGAACGAAGACTTCGACAGAGGAAGATCTATTATTTGTATTGTTCAAAATCATATATTGATTTGTAAAATATGAAAACAATGCATTGATACAACATCTCCTCTTTTCCCTTGAATTTTCTCTTACAAACTCCACCCCGATTACTTCTGTTTTATTCCTTCTGTCAGCAACAATCCGACTTCCAGTTTCTGATACATGCTACTTATGTCTGTCCGTATAAGTAGCGCACACCACAATATTATCTCATAGCTAACCTTAATGATTACTTCTATTGTCCGTTAATAGATGTGAATACATCAACTGAATTACTAAATAATCTGCTTATCTACTGTATCAAAGTCTACAGTAATCAAAAACTGAATAAACTTAATAAGTTGGATAGTATTGAAATCATCAAAGATTTTGACGCTATTTTCTGCTTAAGATACAACTTTGTACTCGCACGGAAGTTATATTTCTTTTTTAAATGATCAGAAAAAGTTCGTTTTTTCATTAATTAACAATATCTGGAATCAAAAGTTTTTTCGCTTATATATGTTGTTCTAAATATCTGGAAAAACTTCATATTGAAGACTATTATAGTGTGAAGTTCATTTTTGGAATTTAAACATTACTTTCAGTTGTTAAAGTAGTTGGAATTGTAAAATAGGGTGAGACTATAATTTATGGTTGACCCTTGAGCCACGCTGAAGTGACCTTGAGAATGTGCACCTATTAACTAGGACTAAATGAGGGTTATAAACCACTGTGAGGAATTAGAATTATGATTTGCAGTTGATAGTTAGTGTTAGGAATTACATTTAGGATTTTCATCACGAACTGACAGCTAAAATGCCAAGACCTTATTTAGCCAAATGGATGGCTGTATTTAGCGTTAGAATCCAAGACTCGTTATCTTATACGTGATTGATTCGTCCGTAAATTATAGTCTCGCCTATGCCTGATATCTGAATGAGTGAATAAATGCTCAAAGTTTACGATATAAAATAAAAATTTACACAGAAACACTTTACTCAATGTGAAATTAGTTTTTTTAAAGTACGGTACAAAGACTATATAAAAAGTATAAGTAATAATACTGAAAAAGCTGTCTCAATATAAAATAACCGATTAAATAACTGTCATTGCTCACTACGTGAATGTCTTGGAAATTTTCTTGATTGAAAAAATACTAATGGTTATCAGTAATATAGCCACTCAACATTACTTCGTCAATAAATTCAGAGCAAGGATAATTCAAATTTAATCTGGAATCTCAACGTTTAGTTGAATGATTTGTAAAAGTCAATGTAACACATATGTAATTCTTGTCGTGGACCGATTGTAACTGTATAACAGTTAAAAACTAAGAACATGACAGCTATTTCATCCTAGAAACAAGAACCTCCATGACACACAATGTGTTAGAATCCAAAGATTCCCTTTTGCAGCGTCACTCAATTCATGTTGTATCACATTTATTCAATGTCATCAATGAGTTATTTATATACGTTTAACATGAATAAATATTGCCTATCAGAGTTACATCAATAGGCCTCAACATATACAAGGGAAAAACCAAGATTTTCAATTACATCACGGAGAGAAGCAACCCAATCACACTTGGTGGAGAATCTCTGGAAGAGGTAGAAACGTTTAGGTACCTGGAAAGCATTATCGATGAAGGATGAAGATTCGATGCAGACGTAAAGGTGAGGATTGGCAAAGCAAGGGCATCATTTATACAACTGAAGAACAAACGGAACCCAAAACAACTGTCAATCAACATCAAAGTCAAAATCTTCAATACATACATCAAAACGGTTCATCAAAATACTACAGGTTTTTCTAAACAAAAACATATTGTATCGAGAATTGGAAGCAGACATCAAAAGGATGAATAGCAAACGGAAACAACTTGAAGGGATTGCCCAGAACAGAGTTGGATGAATGGAAAATGCTGGTGGGCGGCTTATGCTCCTCCACGAGGGTTGATAGGCGCTATATATATATATATATATATATATATATATATATATATATATATATATATATATATATATATATGGAAATAAAAGAAAATCATGGTTTAATTTTGAACCAGTAATTTCTATGTTATCAATTCGATACTAAACTAGATAAATTGTGATGTGTACATCTTAATCAGTTCTTATTTTTAAATGTTTTCAATAAAACAAAATAATTTATTATCTTTATTTCAATTAAATTAAAAAAATTGTTTAAGATTTAAATAACTAAATTTCAATATATCACGAATAGATTTCAATTGGATTTCTGAACCTTTGAATATAATCTCAGTGGTTTAAAAATAGACGATCACCTCGAAATTTAGAAAGCTTGACATTGGTCCTCTTCAAAGTCATAAGTGCGCACTGTTAAAGAGTTTCATACTGAGAAAATACAGCTGTCCAATTTACCTTAATTTATAGTGGCGTTTTAATCCAAATCAGACATTTATGTACTTCGCCTACGAATTTCACTGTGCTAAAGGAATGACTTTCACTTTGTGTCGCACTCAGTATTTTTACTATACATAACTCAACGAACAACCAGCTGATGGCTGTGTACTTAGACGAAGTGAATTTTATTTTTAATAATCTGTAATATTAGCTAGTGAATTTCATATCACTTGAAACTCGAATAATATCATTCAGATTATTTATCTGAGTTTATATAGATCCACGAAGAAAGAAATAGTGATTTTAAAGAAATGAAGAGAAAACGTGTACCTGAATAATTTGCTTAGCAGATGTGTCTTTTCTTAAACGATTTCACTAAATGACTTCAAATAAATTATATTGAATAGATATAGAAATGAACTCCGTTCATTATATGTGTAAGATATATAAGACCTAGTTCATATATATCACAAGTTATGATTTGTGAAATATTTAGAAGACAATTCATTTATAACTCTCTATCCAGTTAACTGTATATGGAGGCAAATTCATTCTCATTTTATAGTCTTCAGTATGAAAAGTAAACCAATATTATTGTCAGTCTGGCGTTGAGGAGATTGTTAAATATCATCACCATTTAAAACCTGAAAGCTTATCCACGATCCCACATTCGGGATTCGGGACTAGCACTTTCCGTCTCGCACAAACGCCATGACAAGTAGAGTTCAGCCACGACGAGTGTGAGACAATTACCCATTGAAGAGGACTGTAGATGGTCGCTCAATATAGCGGATTGATTAAAGTTAAACATTAATGCCACCATATGACGTCCTAGTTGATTAGACTTAAGCGTTCGTGTACTAGACTGGAGGTTCTGGGTTCGAATCCCACATGCGGAACCGTGGATGTGCACTGCTGAGGATTTCTTTATTAAGACGAAACGGCCATTCAATGCCTCCAGGTTTTCACTAATGGTCTAAGATTGATCGGTTGATGATTTCAATGAAATATAATTATTTTTATTAAAAAAATTTTATATATATACACATTAAAACATACCTTCTAAAATATTCTTTTTATTGTGGTTTCACGATACCTTAATTATTTTTTTTAAAAAGATGTATGAATATGAACCCCATTTTTCAAAATATCTTTATCATTTATTGCAATTTAATGAAGCTCAATAAACCTATTTTGATATATATATATATATATATATATATATATATATATATATATATAAACGAATGGTATATAACTATATCTACAAAGTTGTCTCCTTTTCTATCTGTATTTTCACTTCACTCCGTATTAATCTATTTATTAATTTGTATATAACTGTTGTCCAATGTACATTATAGAAAAAATTATATATATATATATATATATATATATATATATATATATATATATATATATATATATATGTTTACACCTTCAGTAAACTGTCATTCAACACTTATCTGTAATTTCTCACCTATCTAATATTTACTACAATATTTAGGTGAAATATAATTAGACGATAAGCTGTAAATCAGGTAGAATATTTATACTGAAATAACACAGTTATTAAATAATTATATGATATATATATATATATATATATATATATATATATATATATTCGGTGTAGTGTATATTTGTACCTCATCAGCCCAGAGATTACAGGTCATTGAAGTATTATTTTAACACTTGGACGTGTTAACTGCTAGATCTATGAAAGAAATTCTAAGTAATCCTATCAAGCATAATTAATTAATGAAAGAATTTTTATACATTATATCCTCTTAAATATTGAGGAACTCATTGTTTTCTGTTAGAGAAATCGATCATTAATATTATGAATATGAGTATTTAACATAGGGACTTTTAATGAATTCAAATTTGATAATAATTTTCTCTCGCAATTCAAAATTTATCGTATATTTAACTGTCGATCAATGCCATCCTGTAGATGCTTCGTGTAGTATTCATGGATTCAGATATACTTGTGGAAATAAGTATTTAGATAGGACTATGAGAAGTGTTTACAAGATTTTAAAAGTAGATTACTTCCAGTTTACACCTGATGAGAAATAAAGCTTAATGAATTATGGACAAAACTTTCAAAATTGTTTTCAAACAAAGAATGTCAAGATTAACTTCCATTCTTTATAAGCCATTAGGATTCCATGTTTCAAAATTGTATATATAAAATTCCTGACTAATC